GATCCTAATGAGATAATTAATAATGTGAAATAGGAAGTAAAGGGCTAAAGGTGTAGGGAAAGTGGGAAGGGTGGGGGAAAGGGAATAAGGGAGAGGAAAAAAATATGAGAAACTGAAAAAATGGAAATAAAGTGTTTGTAAATGGGGAGGGGAGGAGGGGGTGAAGGGAGGGCAGGGACAAGGGGAAAAATGAGAATCAAAAGGTACAGAATCCCAATGATGAATGTAATTGTATTGTATACCTAGATTGTACCAATAAACTCAATAAAAAAAAATAAAAGGTCACACAGAATGTGGTATTTAAAAAATAGCTTCGTGTACACTTGTTTAGTTTGAAGAACAAACATAAACACCTACCAATATTCTGCTATTGCATTTAGCAGCTCTTTGGGTGGGTGACAGGATGTATCATTTGAAGCATAATAAAAACACAGGATATCTGATAAAAAGCTGCCAAAAAGTTTATGCTTAATGTTTGAACTCTTTCATAAGGAAATACAAATTCTGTTGAAGAAACCAAAACAAAAGCATTATATTTATTTACATATATATATATATATATATTTCCTTCAATTTTCAATATTATTAGAGGCCCCTGAGCAAGAAAAGAATGCCATGAGGTCTACTGGCCCTTAAAGAATTAGATTTGAACTAAATCCATCGTTCCCCTTCCAAGGCTGGCATGTGTGAGAGGCCTGCACAGAAGGCTGATGCTCCTGGATGGCCGTGGGAGGCCTCTCCTGAGTGGCAAAGAGAACTCTGCTAGTCAGCATCTTGCATACTTTCTGGAAGGTGCCAGCACTCCTCTCTTGCTCTCCCAACTGCAATCTAGGTCCCACACAAGAACTGGTTTTATGGGTGCATTTATACATTGATGAAGTTTGCCCTGGAGTTGTTTTTTGCTTTTCTCTACTACAAAAAACTCTGTAATTTGCAGCTTTGCAACACATACCTTTGTGTAATCACTTTATTACCTTCACAAGGTAAGTTCTATAATCTGTAAAACTGCTGTACCAAAAGCTCCCCTTTGAGAGCTGGGTGTAATGGCGTACACCTGTAATCCCAGCACTGGGAGGCTGAAGCAGAAGGATCATGAGTTTGAGGCAAGCCTGACCTACATAGTGAGACCCTGTCTCAAAGCCCCCTCCCATTAAAAACTTTACATGTTGCTGAATTTTAGTTCAGAAGGCTACACCAACATGACCTCCCATTACCGTCCGGTGAGTGTTACAGAGTATATCTGACATGCAATAAGACACGAGTTTGTAAATTTTGCAAAACAATCATGTGAAACGATCAGCCTGTTCAAGGTGGCAAGCAGATCGTATCTCAGGGCTTCCCCAGTTCTGGGGTGGGCTCCATTCCTCTACTGCAGGCTTGGTTTACATGTCCTACACTTCACACAAATAGTGTCAGGTGGTATGCATTCTCTTTTGGTCTGACTTTGATCACACAGTACTGTTCTGAGATCCATCTATGTTGCTGTGATAGTTCTTGGTATGGTTGAATAGAGTTCCACTCTAAGAACACACCACAATTTATTCATTTATCTGTGATGGGCACTGCACTGTTTTCAAGTTTGGGGAGTTACTGACAGAGTCTGTATGGCTATGTTTTCATTTCTCCAAGGCATGAACTTGGGTGACAAATGGCTGGGTTATATATGCTAAAGCATGTTTAGTTTTTTTTGTTTTGTTTTGTTTGTTTGTTTTTTTTTGTTTTTTTGAGACAGGGTCTCACTATGTAGTTGAGACTGACCTGGAACTCACGATGTAGCCCAGGCTGGTCTCGAACTCACAGCGATCCTACTGCCTCAGCCTCCCGAGTGCTGGGATTACAGGCCTGAGTCACCACGCCTGGCTCATGTGTAGTTTTTTTAAGACCCTGTTTTTCCAGTGATTATACCATTTTCCATTCCCAACAGCAGTGTATGATGAGTTTCAGTTGCTCACCTAG